GACCAGACACCTCTATCACGGAGAAGATGGAATGGGACAAGAGGATGACGAGCGCCGCGTTGTTCCCAAGTGATGAAAGCAATCATGAAACAGAAACCAAGGACCAAGGGGAGAATGATGTACCAACTGCGCCAGTGGCTAGCGGTTCCACCGGCAACGGTTAAAGGGGCTAGAATGAGCGAGAAGGCGAGGACAAGAAGGACTAGACCGATGATATCGAGTTGGTGAAAGAGATCCGCTCTGCCTTTCTTGGTCTTGAGGGAAACCAGGACAATCTCATCGCTCTCCTTTCCGCTTTCAGATTCCCAGGTTTTCCTCTCAAGGAAGTAGAGGCAAGATAGGAGAGGCAGTGAGGCAATGGGGTAGATTATGGCCCACATTCCAAGACCCCATCTCCAAGTTGTCGTGCTCAGTACTGCTGAGGTAATGTTTCCGCTGATCCAGGTGTTGATGAGGAACGGAATGGCTGGGAGATAGCTGAAAAAGACGCGCGCTCGCATGGATGAAAAGTCTGCGATGAGGACTTCCAAAAGCAGGACGATGCATGTATATCCCGTTTGGTAAATCACCGATCCTGTACAGAAGACCTCTACTGACGGCGCTGTTGACTCGATCGCGATTCCGAGGGTATATAGAACTGTCGAAATGGCGATGACTTCGAACCTGCCAAAGACATCTGCCACCTTGGCCGCCGTAGGTTGAACCGCCACCGCGATAACATTGCGCAAGACGTTGATCGTGGAAAGGTACGAATGCAGATCAAAACTCGACGTTGCATAAGACTGATACGCCAAACGAACCTGACTCTCTAAACCGTACGCATACCCGACGAGGAAAATACCCGCAAAGAGCCAGATACGATGTGCGCGGGTGAGGTTTTTCGAGACAACAGCCATACGCGCCACGCCCGCTGAAAGTCTCTTAGGATTCGCAGGCCTCGCGGCATTTTGTGACAAGTCACTCGAGCCTGGTTCTGGAGCGCCCAGAAGCGGCGCTGTTTCTGAGGACATGTTCGGGTTGTTGATGAGAGGGAGGAGAGAGAAGAATTTTTGATGAGGTGAAACAAAAAGGCTGCAGGTTCAGGCAGCAAAGGCAAGGGGCAGAGGGAAAAGAGTCATCTGATTTGATTGCGAGTGCATGGGGGTGACTTGACCTTGTGACAACGCATGACAAAGCCATCTGATAAGATTTCATGTCCAATAGCGGCGGATCTAACCGTGGTCTAAGTGGGGACTTGACGCCATTATCACGAATTCGATGCCTGAGGCCCAAGGTCACCAGAAGAGTATATCGTCAACCGAGAGTTGTAAAATGGGTGGATATAAATATTGCATACGACTCTGGCTCAACTATTCCCAGGTATCACCAGTCTGTGGATTGTTTGCTGATGATCTGCCGTGTCCTCTGTCAGATTTGGTCAATGCTACCCAAATCAGCTTCAGGTTGGATTGAGCTTATCAGATCATGCAGGGCAAAACTCAATCCGGGCACCGAGGTAACGGTAACGGTACATACACAGAGCTTACTCAGGGCTAGTGACGATAAATAAGGCCTATGGACGCAGTTTTCTCTTTCTCGCGATTAAATTATTTAAAATTGACCCAACGCGTATAGGGTTTGCCAAACCTGCTCAAATTTGTTCCACTTGTCCGCGACCCAAATAACGATCCATCGCACCCCAAAGATAGAATGGCTATTTATATCTCACTCTGACCTCTGGCAGCCTCGGAGAACCTCAACAAGTACCAATAAACGGCATCTTCTCCATGACCCGACGAATCCGCCCGTTAAAAAAGTACAAGGGAATAGCAAGAGACCCCAATGCAAAAAGGATGCCTCCAAACAGTATGTAAGTATCTCTGATACCCATCGCGCTGATCCAAGAATTGAACGAGTGACTGTATCCAAAAGAAATCGCATTTCTTCCTCCGCAAGTGAGCACAATCGCAGGTCCCGACATGTGCGGCAGCAACTCTCCCAACCAAACTCCAGTCACAGCCGAGATAGCGCAGAAGCCAAAATAGAACAGGGCAAAAGCTGCATGCATGCCTACCCAGCTGTACTGCGTTGGATCCGCAGCCACGACGCCGTAGATGATCATGCCCAGAAAGCAGAAAATCGCTGGGAGAATAAAGTTTGGCAAGACATGCTCAGGCTCTCGAACGCCGCCATTTCTCTTGGTCAAGTAGCGACTGATGGGCTCTGCTAGTTCCCCATATCCTAGACCAAAAAGTGCCCCGATAGCTGCTCCGACCTGGACCGTTCCAATTGTTTCGGGGGGGAAATTCCAGGGTGCCATTTCAAGGCGCTGTGCGTAGGTCAAACTGAGGACAACAAGACCACCGAATACCATACTGTTGAAGAGAAGAACCCAAAGCGTCCCTGGGATAAGAATGCAGAGGAACATATCTTTGTATGCACCGAGGAACCGGGCAACAGGCGACGGTTGAACCGTGAAAAGCGCAAATTGGCGCTTATAAGAGAGCTCTGTGGGATTCTCCGACTGAGCATCGTCAATGTCGAAGCCAGCGTCGCGGGCTGCCTGTGGCGAAGCAAAGGTTCGATGAGTACCGTAGGCGTCCGTCGCATGAATTCTTCCACTAAGTTCGGCAGCGCGACGGTTGAAGAGGGTCTCGGGGACGCAGAAGATGATGAGGATCATGGCAAAAACTGCAAAAGCTAGCCAGAACCAATAGTTGAGTCTCCAATTGCCTCCCGAGTTCTCAACGATGAAGGGGATAGGGACCAAAAGTATAGACGACCCGATTGCGGTCAAAGCCCAGTAGGCAATGAGTCTTGCGCTTCGCTTATAGAGGAATGACATGTCGAGGACGATAATTGGTAGCTGCCCGTTGTTAGCATCAGTCAGTGATAACAGGTCAGTAGAAGAAGCAAGACATACCAGACAGTCCGAAATACCCGCAGTGAGACCCTGCAAGCAACGTGCTCCAAGGTGAGACTCAAACGTCTGCGACTTGGCAGCCCAGATGATCGATGCCACAAATATGATATTGCTCAAGATGAAGGCGAAGCGGCGACCGAGTGCCATGGACAAAGGAACGAAAAAGAAGTTTCCCAAGCCCATGCAGAGAGAAGGATAACTAGCAAGGTCTGCAATACGGTCGGGATGGAATGTCTAGAGTTCATTCGTCAGTGATAGCCAAGAGTTTGTAGCCATTAGACTCACACCTCGCGTTTCCTTCATATATTCAGCAATGAGGTTTCCAAAGAAGAGCGGCGTAGACTGGATGACACCGAATCCAGCGATGCCATACATGCAGACGGCCAAGAGAACGAGGCGCTGTCGCCAGATCCCAAAGTTGAGAGGATCGTTCGGGTCGCATGATGGGACTGGCAGGTTTCGCACATTTCCATGATCGTCGTATAGAAGGACGCCGGCACTGTTGCCTACAGCGTCCTCCACATTCATGGCCTTGCCATGGTTATCGTCTTTTTCCATGATGATTCACGATGAAGAAACTAAAGCATAAGGATAGGCTTGGTTGAAGATCGACGGAATATCTGCAGAAGCTAGATCATCCTCGACATGAGATGTTGAAACGAATAATCGGCAAGACAATAGGAGGATACATCGCAATTTAACACAAAGACCTGATTGGGGCCTCACAAGGGGTCTCACGATAGTCTGGGGCCCCGTGAAACTCTAATTAGCACTCCGGGGTTTTACCCCGCGGTCTGGCCCAGCAGAGCTGCTTTCCGGTGGCAGCGAGACAGCGTTCGGGCCGAACTGGAATGTACGGGAGATATCAAATTAGCTGGCTTCACTTGCCAGCAACCCCGATGTTCGGCCCGAAAATCGTCGAACAATCAATCTTTTATTGGTTTATTCGGGCTCATGAGCCAGGATTTCGAGGGGAATGGAAATGAGCCATGGAGTCAGTAACCGAGGTGTGCCAATTCAGGTTCGTCTCGCTTCGATAATGGAGAGATCGAGGTGGAAAGCGCCTATCATGGCTGGCTCATGGTAGCATCAAGTAAAACAAGCAATCTGGACGCCCCGGATTCTCTAAGGACCATACTAATGACTTGTATTCCACGACTGAAAAACTGAATAGATAAATCTTACGTGCCAATATCTTTCTTGCAACAGACATCGGATATTCCTGTATTAACTGCTTCCCAAATTAATGTGCCCTGTTTGGGAGTATATTAACCCAGACCGATTGAACTTTTGGTACGATAAATCGGGATGGACAACAAAGATGACTGACCTTGACTTGGACAGCTCTACTTTTCATTCTCATCACGTGGTGTCTGAACTGCAAGCTGCGAACAGTAAGCCGAATAGCTAACCATTAATGACAAGCCCCATCCTGATCGATAGGAGCTTGATCTCCCAAGCCTCGTGAGACCCTGGCACTCAGATTTATGGATGTCGTCAAAGAAACGCGATGAGCCACTGCATGCTGCCACTCCAGCCATCCAAGGACAATTTAACGTTCCGTAGTGCTGTTAAAGTGGCTTCAAATAAAGATCAGAGGTGAGTGTAACACTGCGGAGTAATGCCAAGGTCGACACGTCAAGAATGCCAAAGCTGCAAGCCTGCAACCTCAACAGCGAATCTAAAAACAAACCACCACTCAGAAGACCTGGGGGCCGGAGAAATTCAGTGTCTTATGAGTGTTCACTAACCGGTTTGAGGCAGCTGAAAAGCAGGCTGGGGATTGATGTGAGACAGGTGGAGGCAGTGCATTCTCAGCCCTATCCTTATAACAGCTAACTTTGCCTGTCCTGATCCTCCGACAACAAGAGCATATCCAAATGACAGAAATAAAGCCAGATACAACTTACTCGACATTTTTGACTATCACGTCGCCAGCGGCTTTGGCCGTCTCAGACCAAAGTGAACAGACCAATACCTGCGGTTTTATAGACACGAGCTCAGGTAACTCCTCCTTTCACCTTCCATCGCTATGCTATTCACATAAAACAATCAGAAGTCCCGTGGACGTGTCCCGGAAAAGGCACATGTCTATACAATGAGCCATATTCCGCTGTTGGCTGTTGTTGGAGTGAGCCGTGTACTGTCGTCTCGGTATGTTTAGACTATACCGCGGTTAGCGAAGGTCAATGCAGTGAAGAAAGCCTCAGTGCGGGGACGAGTTGCTGGTAAAAGGCCTATACAAAGAGCTCTTTCGACATTATAGCTAACGGTGTTTAGTACTGAAGCCGGAAATCCATACTGCCAAACCTGGAAATTTTACGACATCTCCGCGTCACTCGTTTGGTGTACAGATGTTCAACCCACTGCGAAAGTGATCATATTCAACCAACCTATCCTAACAGCATCAGACACTATCTCCACTGATAGAGGTTCTTCATCAACCACGCTGGCAACAACCTCGACTAGTACATCCACCGAAGAGGCACCATCTGTCACCGAAACTTCGGAAGGAAAGTCTGGGGGCATGTCGTTAGAGAACAAGATAGGACTTGGTGTCGGTCTACCTGTGGCAGGGATAGTCTCAGCTGTGCTAGCGGTTTGGCTGGTAGTAAAGAGGCGGAAAGGAAGAAGAGCAGCGCCGGCAGTACCAGTAGTTCCCTTGGTTCCAGCAGCTCCAGCAGGTACTTCTAGTAGGGGTAGTTCGCGCTCTTAGACCACCAGAAGTGTGAAACTGATATGCAAAGACAAATGGCGATGGAATGGGGGGTCATGGATTAACGATGTGTTCCGGATACGGAAAATCCGACAGATTGACGGAAGACCGCCATATGGGGCAACGATTGCGATGTCCAATGAACGCCATTATGGTGCGGCTGCATAACCTGTCAATTGAAGTCCCAATAATATGCCTTGCAGTGGCCAACTATAGGCCTCTTACCAACAGAGACATACAAAGGAGGTTGAAATGCCACGTCATGCATGCAGACAACAATTTAGAGCTTCAATGGTGATTCTCAGTGACGTAATGTTCATCCTCTCAAGCTGGCGAGGCAGACTAACGCGCACAGCAGCTTACAAAGAACTTGGTGGGTTTCTTCATGGCGTTTTCTTCCCCTCACTACTTTCATTCGTTATGTCTGGGTCTGGCTTTCAGTAGGTATATACGGGACCAACACAAATGACTCCCTCCACACATCCATGTGATAATCTGCAACACCAATATAAGCTATGCAAGATGCCACTCGTGCAGGCTACCTTGTATGATTTTTGTAATTTTGTTTTGCGATTAAAGCAGCCAGTATGCCCCCTTTCTTGCCAAAGCTTTCGCAACCATTGCCAGTCTTTTAATAACCATTTCAATTTTAAGCATTATCTTGCTGGAAAATGGCCGATTGGAAGCCAGAAGTATCTCTAGTATCAGGAGAAACAGACTCTGGGCTCATCTATACCCCTCTCTTATATTCCAGAGGAGAAATAAGGCTTCTGGAACTTTTTCCTCCCCTAACATCGCACTCTATGCCCAACGGAAAACTTCACACTGTATCTATACACGACTCGCGTCGCTATATAGCGCTTTCATATTGTTGGTGGGCTAATAGGCGAGAAAAGAAGATTTTACTGAATGGGCAAGAATTTCCAGTGACTTCCAACCTTGCGGCTGCCATTCAGAACCTTCAGAAAAAGCCAGGATATTATTGGATTGATGCCATCTGCATCGACCAGTCCAACCCAGAAGAGAGGGGGCTTCAAGTGAGTTTAATGAAGGCTGTTTTTAATAGAGCTATTGAAGTTATCATTTGGCTCGGCGAAAAGGTCGACTTGCCCTTCATGTCCAACATCTCAACCGAGGCTGAGCAGCCAAATGCGGAACCCTCAAGCTTCTTTTGCAATAGCTTTTGGCGACGAGTCTGGGTGGTTCAAGAAGTGTCAACAGCATCAAAGATTCGCATCATCCACAGTAATGGTGATATCATTTGGGAAGAATTGGTTGCATACATGAACTCTGCCTTAGTGTTGAACCAGAATTTCAGTACTGAAGCATCCATGGGAATTGAATGCATCCAAAGACTTATGAATCTACGGTAGGGCTTCAGACTTCATCGCGCGGCTTACCTTTTGGATCTTTTATATTGCAGTAAATCGCTGCTTGCAACAGATGAGCTTGATAGGGTTTATGGGCTCTTAGGCCTTGCTCATGACAGTGAATTATTCCTTTACTGTCCTCAATATGGAATCACCCTTGAAAGCTTATATGAACGTATGGCGACGTCACTTATAGAGAACACGGGGAGCCTTGACATCCTTTACCTCTGCCGGGGGGCAAAACGCGACTCACTACCAACTTGGGCTCCACGGTGGCTTGAACTTGAAGGCAATCGTATCGAGCAATGGATCCATTACACCATTCAAAGGAGCAGGTCATCGAATGGGCTCTCCATGTGTACTGCCATACCTCGGATTTGGAGTGTACGCTTGTGGTACAGGGGAGAAGGATAGTTGTCCTCGATGGTCTGAGCAGCCCATGCTTTTCTGGGACCTCCAACAACAGGTCTTCAGAAGTAACAGTACAATTGGCTAAACGAGGAAACCTAGATCCTTACAGTTCCTATAATGCCACTGTGAACGCAGTTCTTTACACAGTCTGTCGCGGACTCTCACTCCTGAAGAATGAAAAGCCAGCCTGTTTCGGCCAGTTTCATTGGGCCTTTCAGACACGTATAAAAGCCCATTTGGGACAGTGGATCTCTGAGAATGAGGATGTCAAGATCCGAGGCGAAAGCTTTTCGTACTGGTTCGACGAGACTGTAGGCCAGCTACCACGTTTTATCACTTCAGTGTTATACATGGGAACTCTTTGTGCCTTTTCCACAATCCTTCCAGATGTTCCAGTTACCGGTCTAAAAATATTTGAGCCTATGGCAATGAAAACAGCTCGTGGCTTCCTTGAAAGGGAAGAGGAGTCTTTTATGGACCCCGGGATCCCCCACTCTGAACCGAAGATATTCAATCTGAAGGATGCCGATGAGGGGCTCTTATGTCTCTCATCATCGGAAATGCGTCTTGTGGTTACAGACGAAGGTCTAGTTGGTCTTGCGGTCAAAGAAGCATCGCAGGGTGACGGTTTGGTGCAATTGGAAGGTTGCGAACGACCCTTAGTATTGAGAAGGGCTAAAGCTGACGAAAGTGCCTGGGAGATTGTTGGTGAAGGTTGGTTATGTTATGCCTCAACTGCTCCCTCAGTAAACTCTGAAGTTTGTAGCTACACTATAGTCTGAACGTTTGGGAGGCGACGAAGGTATCGATCTACCCCGTAAATCCTAAGCGTGTTTTAGGGCGGGCCTTAGTAATACAAAGACTCGTTGTTCTATTGTGGCCTTACAAAGGCTCAAGTGAGCTTGTGATAATCGTTTGATCATTAAGCCGATAATAAGTTCAACATGCTCGTATGATAAATCACTAATAACGGCGTGGCGTCAGGTAAGTCGACGGTACGGACATGGGGCAAGGTCCCGAAGGCTAGAGACCCAGTACCCGAGTTACGCGCGCTGGCTTTGCTTGGCGGCATAGAAATAAGATTTACAGGCATGCATCACTCTTCCGATACCGAGAATAAAGTATAAACGATTTAGGTGACTAGATTAAGCCCCCGATCTGTACTGACAATGGCCTCCCAGAAATCACATACCGAGGCATATAGTAGAGAATGCTGGCACGGCGGACCGGCATTGCAGTCCCTGAGGACAGATCGATACCCACGACAACTTCAAATTTGAGTATTGATAATGTGATATGTAAGAAGCTCGGCACCCCGATGATGTTGCTTTTTCTGATTCCAGAACATCTTAGGTGAGCTTCGGCCGCCAGCGTGCCTGAATCCGCTCCGGCTACAACAGCGAAAGAAACCCTACAGGCGAGTTAAACCCAAATTGCAAAGGGGTCAGACCCGTCAGTGGTCCAAGGACGAATCCCGGCAGTCCAGGTCCACATGGCGCGTTGGGCTGAAAACGCTTCTGCTTGATTGAGTGTAGCGTCCGGCGTAAGGTTATTGCTTAGAACATCGAACGATTTCATCATAATCTCTGTGTTATCAACAGGGACTCAAGGGTTTCCAAAGGGGTGACAGCAGGTGACAGCAGCACGGCAGATACCCGGAGTACGTAATCCCGGGGACACGGTACGGGAAACGAGCTGTATTTGGGTGGCCGCCACGGACCTGCATGCATCGTGGCTGGTCCTTGATAACAAATCCCTGACTCCCGGAATTCTGGGTTCGCCTCACTGTTCTGTGCCTCCCAGCGACAGAAACTCAGGGTTGCTATCCAGGTACTCGGTATTTCCAACGCAAGAACTGCGCTTGTGCGATTTAGAGTTCAGGTCATAAACAATTGACAAGCAAAGCAAAGACCATGCGATTTGACGACCGTTCTCGGGCCACTCGCACGAGCACAGTAGCATTGAGGGCGGGAAGTGGGCAGACGGAAATGCAACCTCGCCAATCGAATTGGGATGAACTGTCATAGGATTGGAGCCGGCGTACAGAGTATGTACGGATGCAATTCACAGGGGAAAATGAAGTGGCACACACACAAATTTCCGCTACCTTTTCCGACGGGTCCGCTGACGAAGCAACGTTAGGCGAACCGGTTCGTTGGTGAGCGCTGATCAGGCTCATTTTCTGGAAGGTGAACTACTCTTGGCTTTGTCGATCCCTGTCACTGGAGTTGGGGGGTGATCCTTCGATCGGGTCAACGGGGTCCGAATGGAAATTGGATGCGCGCCATTGATCGCCAGCGACACAGCTTGGCTTTGACTCGGAAAATACATTGTTGTGGAGGAAGATAATACAACATATTATTACAACGCAGATACTAGACTATTTTTGATCCCGCAAGATGCTCAGTTGACTTGAGTTTGACGCAACCTCCGTCTCGTCCGTCCGTGAACCCGTGCCCTTGGAATTCTTCCGAGAGTCAATGTATTCTGTGACAGTAATTTCTTGGGTCCGTAAAATACCCTCAGAAGGCTGGCGACTGTGATGGACGGTACCGAGAGCGAATGTTTCGGTCGTAGGATCGTCTCCAAGTGTATCATTTATTCTCGTATTTTTCCTACTCCTCATCCCAGTGCCGTTGGACTGCGAATGGGAATAAACATATCCAGTGCCCTGCTTCTTCTTATTCCAGAATCCATACAGAGTCGGGGCGTTGACGACAATTGTCGCAGTGAGAAGCTCGGTGCTAGCCCATGTCGTGCGATTGACCTGGCTATCTTTGTTCATGGCGTTGATCGGCAATCGGATGACGGTGATGGCGACAATAAAAATACCGAGAGTGAAGAGTACGTAAAGCTTGAGTTTGCGCTTCCATGAGGTCTTGAGCGAAAAGAATAAAGGAATAGGGACGGCAAGAAGCATCACGTCTGTGACGATGTTGAGAACTCCAACGACGATGAGTTGTAGTTGGGCTTTGGAGCATGTTCCAGGATCGGGAACGACCTGCCAGTACAAATGAAATGGCACGCACTCGCTGAAAGTCGTGACTTGGACAGCGACATAAGTACCGAAGAAAACGAGAAGAAAAGAATACATAATCGTCTTCTGATATCGCAAGTTGAGCAGCAGTCGTCGGTAGACATCGAGTAGCACGAGCTTCTGTAACCAAAGGCTAAAATGATGTCAGCACGACTTCCCCTCGAGTCAGTAAGGGGACACTAACAATGAATTGTAAAAGACTCGATTGGTAATGGCGAATTTACTCCCAATCTCCCGTCGATAAATAATCTCATCCGTAAAAACCATCTTCTCCCTAAGACTCGGTTTAATATTATTCGTTCCCCAAGTAAGAACGACATGAATCAGCGCCAGTCTCACAGCACAGCACAAAATAGCGCCCATTGTGAGGTAATCGCCGAGCACAAACTTCTGCTTGGCGACTTTTCTCCATATCAGCCGCACCCCCATGATCAGGAGCGACAAGCAGCTGAAGAACCAGTGAATAAACAGCGTAGGATCCTCCATCGTGTCGAGTTACACTGCGAAAAGGGAAAAGGAAAGAAGAAAAACAAGGGAGATCTTCGCGGCGGGGGATGGGCGCAGATCACATATCTTTTTATTGTTACTGTAGATTGTTCTTTGATGAAACGCTTCCTGTTGCCTGCTTTGCTTCTTTTCAGCTTTCCGCCACTTGAATCCCAGCGGGACGTTCCCCGTTAATTACGCTTGTTTTTTGTGTGAGTTTACTGACGATATGCTTCTGGACTTGTCAGTTTTAGTGCCTAGCTTGGTTTCCCGTGGCGTTAGGTCGTGTCTTTCATTTTGGGTACCAGCGCTAGAACGGGCCGTTTTCCTTCAACGGGGAGAAGTAAACTATTCCTGTGCGCTAGAGACGGAATGACATTGCGAGCGGTAGTATCAATAATTTATTTAATCAATATTCTAGGCGATGTCGACTGACGCCGTGAAAGAATATCGCTTGGTACCGTCAATCGGGCAATTGGGCCGTTCGTCCCTCATGCGCCATTTTCTTGTGGCAGGGATATCACGCGGGTTCCTGGGATGCGGATGATACGAGCTGGGACCTTGTTAGCAGGGGCCTAAAAGTCTAGAGTTCAGTCTGTCGCATCCAAAATGGAAAATGAGGATGACGATCCTGTCTAGTGTAGCTCACTAGCCAGGAGGCCTTGAGCGACCTCAATTCCGCAGTGTAAACCCCCTGCATGATGCAGTATATCTGCGACTGTTTCTTTTCGTTCTTTTCTTTTTTGTTCTTCCTGCATCCGCGCTGCATCTCCTTCCCCATCCATCCATCCATCCATCCATCTTTCTCATCTCATCTGCCCACCATGCGTTTCACCTCCCTCCTAGTCGCTGCTACCGCGACATTCACCCAGTGTCTCGCTGCGAGCTATGGAAGCCAGGGTGAAGTTCCTGCTATTCGCACGTACTTCATGGTCGGCGGAGGTTATGTAGATGATGGTGCGGGCGGAGAGATCTTCCGTGATCAGATGTACGTGGAGAGACTGGTCCCTACCAAGGGACCTTACAAGTCCACGCCTCTCGTATTTATCCACGGACAGGCCCAAACAGGAACCGTAAGTCCCCTTGATTGATGATACGAAACAGCCTCGGCTGACACAGAGACAATAGAACTTCCTAAATAAGCCTGACGGAGGCCGTGGCTGGGCGAGCCAGTTCATCAACCAGGGCTACGAAGTTTATATCGTCGATCAGACCTTCCGAGGACGATCGGCATGGGCGCCCCTCGCTGGTGCTACCAAGCCCTCCACATACTCGGCAGAGATCATCGAGCAGCGCTTCACTGCCGTACAGGAGTTCAACCTGTGGCCCCAGGCTGAGAAGCACACCCAGTGGCCTGGTACCGGCAAGCGAGGTGACCCTGTCTTTGACGCCTTCTATGCTTCCAACGTCCAGTTCATCAACAACGCCACCTACCAGCAGCAGACCGTCCAGGCTGCCGGTGCTGCCCTTCTGGACAAGATTGGCAAGCCTGTTATCCTCCTTGGCCACAGCCAAGGTGGTATGATGCCCATTCTCGTCGCTGATGCCCGCCCCAAGCTCACAAAGGGCCTCATCCTTCTTGAGCCCTCTGGTCCTCCCTTCCGAGACGCCGTCTTCAGCACCAAGGCCTCTCGCGCCTACGGTCTGACCGACATTCCCCTTGTCTACAGCCCTGCCGTCACAGACCCCTCCACCGATCTCGTCCAGGAGGTCCAGCCCAGCCGTGGCGAGGACTTCGTCGAGTGTATCCTCCAAGCCAAGAAGCCTGCACCTCGCCGTCTTGTCAACCTTGCCAAGAAGCCTATCCTCCTCGTCACCTCTGAGGCTTCTTATCACATGCCTTACGACTACTGCATTGCTCGCTACCTTAAGCAGGCTGGTTGCTCCAAGACCAAGCACATTGAGCTTGGTGAGGTTGGCATCCACGGTAATGGACACATGATGTTTATGGAGAAGAACAGTGATCAGATCCAGGCTCTTGTTGAGCGCTGGGTGCGCTCAACATAATTTGGCTGCCTTGTAGCCCTCGTGTCACTTCTCAAGCAGCGATATTTGCTGCCGAATGGGACCTTCGAAGTTGTCCACGACTGTTATTGAGTTCAGCAGCTGTTGAAGGATGGGAAAATAATAGATCAAACACAGTCGTCTCCAACGACCTATATATATAGAATTAATCATAACTGTAATGCCATACCAAACACGTTACAATAACAATCGCTAAAAATGCTACAAAAGAATTCTGGGTCTTTTACATACCCAAAACCTCCAACTCAACACGCGCCATACGGCACATGATGCCCAATATTTATTTGATAAACCTCCTACAGAGACTGGACTCACAACCGATGGATTCACCCATATCTAGAGGCACTGATGGTTAGCTTATGATCTGACTATCGTTGTCTGGAGATAACATACCTTGGTTTCTTGTACCCGATGTTTTGTTGTTTATCGCCATTCTTTGGTACCGCGATCTGTTGAACAGCTACAACGACGGTATCCTCGCTCACATGATTTCTCCCATTCGAGTCTAGGAAGAACTTGATCCCTGCCGTTCTAGTCTCCTTGCTCCGGAGGTCCAACTCAGCCACGTGTTCGCCATCGCAGAACCCCCACTTCTGACTCTCGGATTCATCAGCCACGAACTGCAGACCCGTCAAGACGCCCATTTCGTTAAGCCATACACGAAGAGTCTTCAAGTAACCGCCGTAAACATGCCATTTATCGGGCTCATAGTGAGGTATGTCTTCAATCTCTTGTTCGAAAGAACCTCCATGTATACAAGCGCACCGGTCTTGTTTCTTGACATCTTTGTCGTGCTCTGGTGAGTCTATGGGGATTGGTCCGAAGGACATTGATTCATGGCCCTCTGCATACATGAAAGTCATGGACGTCATCATGAGCAGCTTTGTTGTCGTGCTATGACACATCGTGATGAAGATAGTTTCGAGTGGTTTTGAGCAGTCGAGCCACGTCACAACTGTTTGTGGACTCGGCACGCCAACGCCGGGGTAGCGCAGTCTTTCGATCCATTTTGTCATGCCATGGATCTGTCCAGCTTCAACGATTGGGAATCTTGTCTGCGGACGCTTGGGGACCCAGTAATGCCCCAAAATATTCTGAGCATCCTTATCCTCGCGGTCTTCTCCTAAATTCACAGAGCTAAACTCGAGTGTCAATACCCCAAGGGATGTCAATGAGCTGTTTCGGTCGTCAGACCATCGGCAGTGAAAACCCTCAATAGACTCCATGTTTAGCCCTTCTTTGGCAAGGCTCCTCTCTTCTCGTCCAGGTCTACAACGATGAAATGCTGTGTTTTATCCGTTACGAAGCGTATGGCCTCAACTTTGTCCTTCCCCGTGATGTAGCATTTCGTGATCTGCTCATCGCTATCCATGAAGAAGTAGTGCATGGCAGTGGGGAGGCCGATAGATCGCCGGACGGTTTTGTCCTTGTATTCAAATAGCACTTCGAACGCGCGAAATTGAGCATCCACTCCAAGAATGAATTTGTAGTCCAAGTTATCGTTGAGCGGCTTGGTGAGCATCAGTGTCTCCACAGGCGTTGGCATCAAGGGATCTAGTCGCACTGGGTAAGTAGGCCAGATTTCGGGCTGGAGGGGGATCCAGCCTCTCCAGAGGAAGTTTGCGATTCTAGGATCGGGTCGAAACATCGTTAACACTGATAGTCCGTCTAGATCATCAGGGTATTCCATCCCGACCCGGCAATGGGCAGACTGAGGCACCTTTTCTTGATCTTGCTGCAGAAGAACCAGGCTTTCCACTCCTCTTGCCTCATTCCACGAAGCCCCAATGCCAACCACAGTATGCCACGGCTTGGGTACGAGGACTCGGATGTCTCCCAAAGGTTCACCGAACGAAACAAAGTCGTCGTACAGGAACATAAACTTGATCCCTACAATCACCCATCGCCAGACCCTGGGTATCTCTTGAGGCACTTCCTTCGTCACGATGAGAATTCCTGCTAGCCAATTATCTTGGGGGATCTGGGCATCTTGGCTCTTGTGAAATAAATCCTTTGGCCCTAAGGTCTTGAACGTATCTGTGTTAGGATCGTAAACCCCAATACCAGCAAGGTGCTTGTTGGCATCCCAATAAACCCTAATCACAGGCTCGGCTTTCTCGAGATCTTTCATCTCCTCGATGAGGCTGACTCTGTCATAGACTGTGCTGGCGTAGGCTGGGAATGTCAACAGTGGTATGGGACTCGAGATGGCGCCCCTTAAAATATTGTCAGCCTTCTTAGTATGTTTAATCAAAGGCTCCTGCTTTATCGTCTTGGTCTTGGTCTTCGTCCTGTTCGCCGACTGGCCGAGTGCCGAGCACTCCTCCAAAAGTCGAGAACATACACCCCACAGTCGACAACGATTCTGAAGATGCATCCTGAGTGGAAGTGAGAAGTTCCCCTCCCTTAGGCGGCCATTGCCGAGAGCGACGAGATTCTTGTAGTATATGGCCATATCAATTGTCATCTTGTGCTGTTTGACCGAAAAAATGTACTTTGCCCATGGCATATCATTGTAGATTTTTGTAGGAGTCAACCTTTCGCCATTGAGGATGTGCGGAACACTTGAGCGAGATCTTCGTGAGTTTATTTTAAGCTCGTCCACAAATATGGTAAGATCAGAAACGCGGTTTGGTGATGCGTACGAGAAATCATGGGCGGTACCGACCACATTGTGTCTTGGCTTGTTATAGTCGAACTGCAATTGGCAGCGAATGATGCTGTCATCATGTAGACAGTAGCTTTCAAGGGTGTCATAAAGAGCTGAGAGATCGATATCTCGCGGCTCATAAGCGTCCGCTAGCACCTTGTAGCAATCGACGTGAAATGGCGCTGCAAATGCCTGAGGCCCTTCGCAGTGGTACCTGAGTGTAAGTGAGCATAATCTGGTCGCCGGTGGTAGTAATGGGATACTTACACTGTCACAAGTCGGGAGTCAAATGCTTCGCCATGATTAGCAACTTGTTCATCATTGTGCACGTCAAAGGTGTTGTCTCGATGATGCCGTGCTTTCTCAATTATAAAAGTCCTACTAGTATCAGACAAAATCGAAATCACAGGAGACTATAACTATGACTCTTACTCTTGTATTTCGGGGTCTCGAGCAATGATCATAAATTCCCCCATCCACGCTCTATCGATATCGCGTCCCGAGTCTCTGCCATGGCCGACATCACGGTCCCGATGCTTATTAAGTATGGTCGCACAGCACAAGGCGCAGCAGACAGTGTATCCGCTCATGACACGCGTTACACTTATATCGATGAGGCGAACTTGTGATGGTGAGTATCATTTATTGTTTACTATATTTCTCAGGGGGAGAGGCTGTTAAATTGCCAGGGAGACTGTTTATGGCCAGTGGCAAGGGCGCCGCTATGCCTCTTTGGGCTACGGCTTCTAGGGATAAGACCCACAAATTGAAGCCTGCGAGTCTGATCAAGTGTTTTGGGGAAAATGTGACATCGAGATTAAGACGCAGGGATGCGAGTAACGCCAGTCTAAGATTCTTCAATCAGGCAGACAGAACGCCGAGCATTGTAAATACGGCAGAGGAAGGGAGACTGATCACGGCAACTGCTGTAATGTCAGGTACAGTCATGAGTTCGGAATAGGGTACTTTGAGTACCTAGCTTAATGAACTTTTATATCGCAGCAACTAACTTTGGCATCTAATCACAACAAATGCCTCGTTTTTGCTTTGTCCAAGCATAGTTGTGGCAATGTAAAGTATTCTTGTTCGGCTTTCCCATCGCAAAGTCTGTAAAGCCTAGTATAAAGCTCCTCCTCCTCCTCCTTCTCCTCCTTCTTCAACCTTTTGATCGTCTGTATCAGATACTACTCATCCGCAAAGTACACACCGAAAGAGGCCAACTTGGCATCCGGAGAATCTCGATCTGACCATTGGCAGAATATTCCAGTCATTCAGCCGCCCCAATTCGTTTGAGGAGGATACTTCATCTCATGCTCTTCAGGCTTTCCAGCAGTGATCGCCTGACTTTGGCTGATAGCCCGTAAACCACTGGGGACATTTTGCTTCATAGTCACACAACAACCTGTAATTCTGTCAGGGACGGCCGATGACTTGTCGAAGTAGAGGTACTGCATGGCCGTGCTGCGGGGACCAATGCAATGACTCCATTTTCGCCCATCTTCCTCAAAGTGAATCTCGAATCGTTGCATATTAGCGTCGAGCCCGAAACGGATCGCATTATACAGATCGCTACCACGGGCTGCAAGAGTCAGAGTCTCCATGGAAGATGCTCCGATCCGTGACTTGTTCCTCAGCTCGTGTGGCTCACAGGGCCAAGGTCTGCTACCCTTGATAGGCTTCCTGAAGAAGTCTATTGTCGAGGGCGTGCTCGTAGGTACTGAGTTGGTCGTCCTGGATCTCGTGATATCGGGTGGGGAGTTTGCCTCAGGCTCTTGTGCGCTGCGCTGTTGGGAGAGAGGCAGATACTCCTCTACGATCTTCGAACATAATTCCCAGAGTCGGCGGCGATTATGCAAGGCCCGCAGCGCATCTCGGTAGTCAGGAGTATTGAATCCCCGGCCACCGCCTAGGTCAAAGATGGCTTTGCAAAACAAGAACCTATCAATGTGACGCCGCTCGATCTCTTCCTTGGATGGAAGAAACTCGCGTATCCAGGCAAATTCCGTGGTAAACTTATTTTCCCATTCCGTGTCAGAAATATCTCTCTGTATAGAACATCTATTCAGTCCATTCTGTCGATTCTGCCTCTTTCGTTGGTTTCGTTGTGGCCCTTGGTGATTTGCGTGCAGAGCTGCTTGTTTGTTTTCATATCGCGAGCTTGTTCCTTGATAATTGTGATACGGACCGGTTCTATAGGACTGATACGGGTCAGTCGGGACGTTTTGGGAACGTCCACGATCAGAACATGGCCCACTTGGGACGTTATGGGTTGATCGATTGTCGGGTACATTCGAATTGTTAGCTTTCCTCAAAACGCTCTCAACAACGGAGGCGACGTTCTCGATGGAAATTGGCGATGCGACTGCGTACTCCATTCCTGGGGCAGTATCCCACTCATCGCTCTGATATCTTTTCAGTCTGCCGTAGTTAAAGTCCAAGGCATTTGGTGGCCCGTAGGGGAGCCTTGGAAGATGAGATGTTAAAACTCGGTAAAGGGCTGCGTTGTCAATCTTCTGCGGTTTGACGACCTTTCCAAGAAGTTCGTAACAGTCTGCATGGAAAGGAAATACCAAGGGGTCTTGACCTCCGACATCATATCTTCTGAGATTAGTACGGCACTCTCTCCCTTTTTATATAGAACTTACACCGTCATCATGTTGACATCTTTGCGAACTATCCTGGTATTCTCATCAAAATCGACATTGAAGTCGTTTGCTTCCTCCTGTTCGGCACGAGGCACAATGAAGACCCTAGGCTCATTAGATTATAGGTACTTGCAGTATGGCACCAGGGCTGCTTACCTTCCTGACTTGTGGTGTTGTGTGATGAGACTGACATTGTCCAGCCAGCCGCTGTCGTCATTAGAGTCAATGCTGGGCTCAGACAAATAATCAACGGCTGGCTCGGTTGAGTGACTGGATGTTGGAGCGCCGCAGATGGCGCAGCAAATGGACGTCGAATAGCCGGACATGATGGCGATGACGGGAAGAGAAGGTGGTCGGTATGGCGCCAACTTAAAATGGCTGGTGGCTTTTAAGACACGAAAGTGATAACGCGTGCGGTAAGGTTCTGGGCAGGTAGTCAGAAAGAAATGAGCACTACTGTTAGCACTACTGTTAGCTCCTCACACGGAACGCCAGCAAACACAAGCTTTCATTCTACACAATTACTTACTTGTCTTTCTGTCCAATGCCCTTCACCCCAACCAAGTCTCAGATGCTGAAAAAAAAGGCAGTTTTCTTCTGTGGGATAGATACATAAATGTCAAAAAATTGCAATTGCTGCGTATTCAGGGCTAAGACACTATAATACGTCTTATAATCGCATATACTGACGTGGAGTGTTTTGTTCCGTTACACCCGAAAGTTTAACATCTTGGCTATCCAGGCTGTTTGAGGCTGCAAATCGAGCATTTTCCCCTTAAGCATTTGACATCTGCTGAGTTCCTCACGCCTCTGCAATTCAATAAGGAATATAAGATAGACTGATGAGCCATGATGATGACAAGATGACATGGAATATGCGCCCGGTATAAATATAACCCGGTGCATTATTTCAACGCTTCCGCGACAAGGATTGCTCGTTGGTTCATAGTTAGAGCTGTCAACGTCCTCGAATCTCCAAATATGGACAAATCACTCATCAAGGCTAAATTCTACAGCCTTGTCCAAGCGGGGCTGGTGTTTTACGACCAAGAGCAAAAGACCGTCGAATACTTGGATAGAGGATTGAAGGTACAGGCCAACGACTGTATAGCCCGGCGCATTATACTGACACTCTTGACCGCAGTTTCAGTTCCTTCTTACTTCAGCTCTGGCAAACAAACCGACGTTCCAAACAGCTGGAGCGCAGTCACAGCAAAATAACGAATCGCCCCAGCAGAATCGAGACGGGAGTGATATCAACACCGCAGGTTATGAGATATGTGATGTTGGGAGCACGCATGTCCTGGTCGCCAACAAATTCTGCTTCGCTAGCCCTCATCTGATGCTTCTGACTTCAGACAGCCACCAAATGCAATACGAAACTTTGAACAGAGACGATATCACAGCGGCATGGAGTGTTTTGAGTACGATGGGTGAAGACTATGTCGCGTTTTTCAACTGTGGACGAGATGGAGGATGCAGTCGACTGCACAAGCATATGCAGCTAATTCCGAATCCGAGCAACAGCTTTGCATCTTTCCTCGATTCTGATGATCAGAGGGAGCCTGATGTCCCATTTCAATGGTTCTATCATCGCTTTGGATACTCGAAACATGGCGTAGATGACCTGGTTAACATTTACAACGACCTACTTAGAAAGGCCACAGAAGTTGGCGAAGGACGATCTGAGCATGCTAGCAGCTTACCTCCTCGTGCTGCAATCCCGCACAATTTCTTACTCACGCAAAGATGGATGATTGTACTCCCAAGGCGAAGAGCGGCTATCAACAAAAAGGCTGGGGCGAATGCTATTGGGATGATGGGTGTTATCGCTGTTGCAACCCAAGATGAGATTGACAACTGGCTCAGAATTGGACCAGCCACAGCTCTCGCAGAGCTTGGCGTTCCAAAGTAGAAGGTCTTCAGCATAGAAAAAGAGAAACTTTTAGAATTAGTTCAAGCTCCCTATCATCATTATCATTTACGTCGTTCCCGTCACTTAGCCTCCCTCATCAACAAGCTACTGCCAGTCCCCTCATCAACACTAACACTCATGTAGCTCCCCGAAGTCGTCGCGGCATTCCTCTCATTCAGAAACCCAGTCTTCTCAGCAATTTGAACAGGACCTCCAACACAGCCCTGACATGTCTGCATCTGCGACGCAGACAACATGGTTCCAGCAATCCAATTATAAATGACCCATGCCGCTTGCAGAAACACAAGATCTGCAAGAAGGATGGCCAAGAGCATGACACCTGGACTCTTACTCTGCGGCACAGAACAGAGGTACTGCGAAACAATGGTAGCATTGTTGCAGCCTAGCGGCCCCATCTCACTAACGAACCGGTCATAAGTTTCGTTTAGAAGAACAAGGTTCTTTTCCGTTACTGGAATTGGTGCTCCTGGCTTTGGGATTTGGGCATAGCGCGTAGCCTGGCCCGTTAGTGATGAGTCATTGAGAAAGGAGCCGTTCTTGCGATTTGGATCATCGGGTGGAAGAATGGCGTATTGAAGATTCTTTTCATCCAGAAGCAGGTTGGGGGCGTTTTTGTTTCCGAGGTCAACGGCGATGAGGGAGTGAAGAATCCTTGTGTAGTGGAGACTTTCCCAAACAACGGGGACAAACTGATTCTGGTCTCTGTTGGTATTTGGAGTCACACGGTTGATATGAACTCACCTTTGGGTCGGTCTTTATGAAAGAGGTGTCGTTGAGAGCTTCGGGTCGTCAGTATAGGGAAGCCTTGGTAGGGAGAAAGAAACTCACGTTCATTTTGGATGAACCCATCAGAGGAAAGAAACCAGCCAGCGAGGTTAAACAGTTTCGGGTCGCGAATGCTGACTCTTGTCAGGATATGAACATAATGTTCTTGGGGTATAACTTACTCCTCTATGCTCGGGTTCGTTGTGAATGTGATGCCTCCGGTCATCCAATATGAATCATCCCCTAGATCTTGGGTCTGCGACATGGTTGTCAGGATACCCGTGAAATAAATGTTCAGTAACCTTGTTCCCCACCAGATACTTGCGTGGGTCTTGTAGTCATCTTCGATAACATAATCATATATGTGATCACTCTGACCAGTGTATTCAACACCAAGGGTAATGTTCACCAGCCCTTCACTCGTCATAACATTGCAAGAGGCTGTAGCGTCGGTGAATGTCGTGATCCAAGATAGCCACCAGCTTTTTGACGCCCTGGCATCTGATTTTCGGAGATTAATGTCGACTTTTGTTAGGTAGCAATCTTCGAGAGTATTATTCAAATATGCGATGGAAGGATATGTCTTTCGAAAGTCTGAGTCATCGTTTGATGAGGTGAGAGCCTTGACGGAATATTGAAAACCAAGATTGGTGGAGAAAACACGATCACCGACAGACAAAATTTTGGGCTGGCACTTGACTTTCATATTATTGTCCCAGTTTAGAGGAGCTTTCATGAACCACCTGCACAAATTTAATAGGGTGCTAGTGAGAGCAAACACTTTTTGTACTTACCGGATTGATTGAGTAGTTGTACCATTAGGATCATCGGTGAAAATTGGCTTGAGATAAAATGCACTCGACGCGAGATTGATGATCGTAAACAGAACCATCAATATCAAACCGCCGGCGATAGCCACAGGAGTAAACCACCGAAACGGGTACGGTTTCGTGACGGGATATGAAAACCACGAGGAATGCATCGTGGCGGTTGAGCAGTTTTGTCCTGGTCATTCTGATGCCCAGAAATCAGGAAAGGTGGACATTTATCTACCTGAACCCAGTCCATCCTTCGTAACATGGAGGATCATGATCCCTGCGATGGCTGACTTCTGAGGTGCAGGGTAAGCCCTTGAGGCTCGGTACTTTCCATATCCGATTGGCTAGGAGAAGCCAAATTTAGCACGAGAAATCCTCGCGTCGCACTTTGGCCAACTGCTAAGCCTTCTTTTGCTGCACTCCTCCTGCATCTAAGATTGATTAGCGTTTCATTGCTCCTTGTTATCAACTGCCTAGCGAAAGCTTAGCATGTTCCTGTTTGCTCTTGACCCAATGATTTTCGTGGCATTCATATCCGCAATTACCACGACTCACCTCTTTTCTGGGAATTATCGAAGACACATAGCTACAGATTAACGCAATAACGAAGATGGAGCAGGTTAGCCATCCTCATATACTTATGTCTACAGCATTGAGATTCGATAAATGCTCAAGACGTAATTACTACCTTTCACTACTTTACGCGCAAATGAAACTCAAATTCTTCACTCGGGGTATTGCATATTGCTATGTTGAGCCAACTTAACCAAGTAAACCCGAATCTATCCTTTGTAGTCCTCCCCTTCAAATCTCACAAACACTTCCTAGCTACCAACTTGACTATGATGTCTTACATGCAACGTCCATACTGATCCATCCACTTGCTCTCCGCATTAGGAGAAGAATCAACCAGTTTCCAACAAACAACCGTGTACCCAACTCCCTCAAGGATACTAAAGTCCGGCTTCAAACATTGGAAGATGTACGCAGGGGTAGTAGCTATCTTGAGCTGCTCAGGCTCCTGGTCATCAAACATGTGAACCAGACTAAAGCCGCTTTGACCCCGAGCAACGAAGTCACTTTGTACAGCAACAACCTGAAGACAAAGGGATTCAGGATGGTTGTACCAATCCGCTTCATCCAAGATGCCCCAGTGTTTGCAGGGCTTCCCAAGCTCACAGTCCTGTGGAATCGAATGACAGATCATAAAGTTTCTCGCAACCGGGAACTGAGCAGCTTGTTGAACTTTACCAATGAAGGTGCGAGAAAAGGCTCGCCCGATTACAGGCTGCTTCCTGACTGCAGCATATCTTGGGTCGGCTTTGACATATACCTTGCTAAGGCGTGGGGTCTCATCATAGGTTCCATCAGGAAGCAGGCGACGGGGTGCTCGAGTTTCATCCCAGTCGTTGATGAGCGCCTCGTCACGGTCGACGAGACGTGCGAGGTTGGAAATGGTGCGTGTAGCCTTTGCAGAATCCATAGTATTGGTGGGATTTCGCCAAGTGAAGTAAACTGAGAGGGTTGTTGTTACCGAGGAAGGCTACTGTAGATGAAAGCAGAGGTCTGCCGCAAGATTGACAAATGTTGGTCGTAGGTTTAAGGGGTATAGCAAGTCTTGAAGTCAACGCCGTAATTGTTTTGTTGTTGCGAGTTGATGTTGAATGAAGTGCATCTCTTAGTGACAGACTGCATATTTATAGGAATAGAGACTGTGATGTTCTGAAGCAATTAATGAACAGGTGCGATTGTTCGTGAGCAAGCGATGCAAAGTTCAACTACTTGGTAACTTGTAAACGAGACGGGGTTATCAAGAACTGTAATAATGTTGAGGGGGTAAAGGCGCATGTTCAGTTGAACATACATTTGTACTCACTGTGATCATTACTCATCTTTATTTAGGATGTCTAACTAATTGGTTTGGGATGAACCTTGATAAAACGTGAAGGGAGAACACGGACATTCTTCAACATGCCGTTCCAAACCAGGTTCATTTTCAACATTTGTGATTTCAAAACCATACCCAGAATAAAGATCTGCCACATTCCAGATCTCTTAAAAGATCTTTGAGTATAAATGGTGTTGGATTTGGAGAAACCGCGTCGTTTTAGGGGTGTCATCCGCCAGGGTTGGTTTACACCTCTGTCATGACGTTACTTAACCGACTGGTTTTAGGCCGATAATAATCCAGAAACAATTCAACACTGAGTATGATGTTAAGCGGTTCCTGACTCTCTTCCAGCGCAAGTAGGCACTATGCACCGGGAACGATCCGGATCGCGCCAGCGCCGTGATGGATGTTGGATCGCGGACTGCCCATCATAATGTCTCTTGAGCATATTAGCGTGGCGCACCTGACCTCTCTCCCAAGCCTCTTGGAACCCAACTACACCCCCAATCTTTGATACCAGTTAAGCATCGAGGTTCTCGCCTATATACACTGCTACCAGCAATGTAGGTCAGTTAACCAAGGACTAGCTTATGTGATGGAAGACATAATAAATAGAATAAATATATCTACATTATTATCTAATTTACATAAATTTAAAACTGCCTTTTATTTTATATATAAATAATAATTATAACCTTAATAAGAACTTTAAAAATAAAGCAATTATACTATGGGGTTAACTGCCAGTCAATTAGCAAACAGAGCACAGCCCCATAGACAGCATAGCATAGCCCTGCACGTAGCATGGCACAGCCCCACAAATAGCACAGCACAGCCCTGTACTTTTGGTTAGTACTTTTGGTTAGCTAAATACCTTATAATTATTAAGATCCTTGTTGGAACTTAATCATTAACTTCAAGAACACAGTATACCCATTTTTATAAGCACCTGCACCAGGGACAAACGATTTACCTTTTCAGTCTACTTATTATCTGTTTTCAACATCGGTCACATATGGATACGCTTGCCCCCGATAGGCTTGTCCCACTTGATTCATCTAAAGACGCCGACCTCGAATGGGTAGCATCGCCGGATCTCGCTGGTCCTGGGGTTAGTTCATCATGAACTGTAACCAGCCGGGCAGCTTCTTAACTGACTCCCTTCCAGGTTGTACTGAATTTTGTACTTACAGCGGCACTATCATTACTTGTTGCCGCCGGCTCCTACTTTCATACCTACAGCGGATCCTCATCATCTCGCCTGGCTGGTAAACATGGCTCACTCCAACAAATGGGTGTCGCTCTGCTTGACCAGAGTGCTGTAACAACCACAGCTATAGCTTTATCATCTTTGATATCCTGGGAATCATCTTCCGCATTTACACGAAAGTCGTGTCAACTCTACGTATCAATGGGCAATGTCTCTGCTCTTATGCTCATAATCGGGATCAACCATACCAGCGTCGGACGCCATATCGTCGTTGCTTTGATGGCCCTGGAGTCATTTGCCATTTCCATCCGTCTTACCTTGAGTAACGAATCTATTTCCAGTGAGCTAATGTGGTTAGAGAGAGGAAATACGTGTCCACCCACTGGGGCTGATCGCATAAATGCGCTGAAGCCTCTTTCTGAATACTTAAGCCTTGCGAGCGATGCAGTGTGCATACTACTCGTGCTTTTGTTAGGGCTTGGTACCATCGCTCCCTTAAGACGCAAGATGACCAGGATGATCCATTTTGCTTGCTTCGCGCATGGTCTTATTCGACTTGTCACAAATCTTTTTGCAATCAAGCAGCTCTTCACAAACTACAGACCGTACTTGCAAGACGATGTATCAATTTGGTCATTTGGCCAGATAATTCCTCTCGTAGGACTCGCGATACCTATATGGTCTCTTGTTGGTATGTATTCCAATTTGGTCGCTGAGTTTCTACCCCTATTGCACTTCGTTGTCTTGAAAGCAAAGTTTCATAACAGCAAAGCATGACATTATTTCCCATGTCTGACGACCAGGTATTCTTATACCATATTCCATTATTGATTGCTAACTGCTACCTAGAGTCAAACATCCGTGGTCCTTCAACTGCGGAAGATCAAGACCGCAGTACACAGGAGGATCCATCCACATCAGACACATTTGACCTGTTCCTTTCTATATCCCCTTTTGTCTACTTCTTTCGCACAATCCCGCTTGTGGTATTTGTATTTAGTTTTATCGCATTATCATTTGGTCTCATAATCCTATCACGATGGTTCCAAGGAAACCATTCCTCTGGTAATATACTGCCTATCTTAATATCGAATATCTCTAAATACTCACTCACAATCTATAGTGAGGCATATGCGTCCAACGATAGTAAGAGCTTCACACTTACGTAACCTTATCTATTATACGACATGGGGCAACACCTCACATGCCAGCCACGCGCCATCATCACTTTTGGGTCTCATTCCATGGAGGCTCCAGTGGAATAGAGAGAGCGCTGTTCCTCCGGGTTATCGGCGAATAAGTTGGACATGTGTGAGTCCTTTTTCTTCCTCTCTTTCTTCCACTGTATGCTCATCAGCATGGTAGTCATGTGGCCATAGTCTGGCAGCTAACTTCAGCAACTCTCATCCCCTCGCCTTGGCAGCCTTAGAAAACAAGCTTCATGGTTTGAGGAACTCCAACGCCACAGATGCTTCTCACCAATCATCCACCCCTTCTACTTCAAGTATACAAGACACTCACTCAGCAATCTCCATTGCCAGCGGAGAATCCCCAAGTCAGCCCTCTCAGAGAAGGAAGACACAGTCGAATAACAACGGACGAGTCTCATCACGTCAAAATATCAGATCGTTAGATAATTCTGAGAGGGTTGGCGTACCCAAGTTTTTCGAACTCTGTGTTACTGTTGGAAAACACTCTGTTAGACTGGGCGAGATCAACATATCATCTGTTACAACAGATGGCCAGTTATTTAAAAAGATCTGGGATAGCTACCGAGAGATCAAGACATCAACCTTGGGGGCCACCATTAGAGGCTGGTTCTTTAAACCCAGCGACGTCTTTTTTGTTCATGTCAGTCCTTCTTGAAATTCCGAGCTATATCAACTAACCTTAGCTCTTAGTTTGGAGTCATGGGCAGGCATAGAGTGGGCATATACAGCAAACCAATGGAGATACCACCTGCCAAAGAAGTAGACGAGGGCCGATATCACTACTTCGAGTGTCCGATGCAGCCGCTCCCTCCCATGCCGGATCACATTTTCTTGCACTACTTAGAAGAGGCAAAACAGAAAACTGGTCGCCAAGATAACCCAGCTGCACATGCAGAAGATATTTTTCTCTCTCGGCTACCCAAGAAGCTAGGATCTAGCATCTTCACGAGTAGATCTGGTCTTACGTCTGGAATTACGTATGGCTGGGGTGTGCATATAGTCGAACGACCAAGCGGTTGGGCTAAGAGCATGCTTGGTATATTGAGCGCACTAACATGCATTGCTGTGTTTGCTATTACCTGGATGTGTGCTGATTTCGATAAAGCGATTGGCATAGGCCAATATATAACTGGAGTTCTAGCAATCATAAATGCCGCAGTTTACTTTGCCTTACAGGATTATAGCAGTCCGTTATCACGACGAGAGTAACCATTTATTCTTATCTAGATAATAATTCATTTTTAGCTGGCTAATTTTCATTTATTATAAAAACTAAATTATTTAATTCAGTCTAATAATTGTTATTAAATTATAATTTCAAAATGTTAAATGCGATCGACTTACTGGTTCAACAATTTGTATACTGCGTGACAGTCGGCACTCGGCAGCTTATCAGAGTTCTGGCTATACGCGTTGCAGTGAGTTTGTTATCTGCCATACAATTCTAAAGAAGAAAGAAAAACGCCATTTTTGTTTTTCCCTCCCAACCACCTCCCCTTTCTTCTGTTTATGCGTTGGTAGTGTTTCTCGGGCGACCATCTCCGAGCTTCCGCCGATGCTTCCAGGCATCAAAACATCTCACCGATAGCACACTTCAACACAGCAAGTCGCCATGGCACCGCGCAGACACCTCGGAAGTCTCCCGCATATTCTACCAAGGCTGTTAACTTACTCTGTTCGTCCAGTATCAGCCATTCCGAAATATCCGACTTCAGGGACTCGAAAGTCGTCTACTCAAGCGGTACCGAAACCAGATCATCATGCGCACACGACTCTCGAGCATCCGCTTACGTTTCAAACAACCGCATATGGCTTGATTGACCAGAATGTAAAGATTGAGGAGGAGCAAATTCCCAGCTACGAAGCTTCGCGGTTTTATCCGGTCCAAATTGGAGAAGTTTTCCAGGGTAGATATCAAGCGGTGACGAAGCTGGGCTATGGGAGCTCATCAACAATATGGCTCGCCAGAGACTTACGGTAAGAGACTCTCGAAGGAAGAAACCGTTCATATCAAAACTCACCACCACGAGGTGCAGGGACAATAAGTATGTCGCCCTCAAAATCTACGTTCATACTTCCCGCAATCACCGAGAGATCCCGGTATACGAAAGCATGTCACCGATACTAGCAAAATCTAGTAATCCTGGGCGGAACAATATCAGACACCTACTGGGTTCCTTCGAGATCAGTGGTCCCGATGGCCGCCATAAAGTTCTCGTGATGCAGCCCGCTCAGATGAGCCTCCGTGATTTCAAGCAAGTCTTTAGACCAGACGGCGGGTTCGATGAAAACTTTGTGAGAGGAGCCACCCAGGAGCTACTCAAGGCCCTCGAATTCATCCATGAAGAAGCTCAACTAGTACACACAGGTTAGTCCCGGATCCCTTTTTCCCACTTCCAAGGTTAACAGTCTTCAAAGATATACACCCTGGAAATCTGTTGCTCGGTCTAGACGACGATTCACAGCTTGAACCACTGGTAGACATGGAGCTGAAGTCACCTGTCGCCCGGAAAAAGGTCACAGAGGGCCGTACTATATACCTCTCACGTTCGATGCGCCCAAAGCCAGGTCCCATGCTCTTATCGGATTTTGGTGAAGCTAGGACTGGAACTGGACCGTTTGCAGGCGATATCATGCCGATCCAATACCGCGCGCCCGAGGTTATAATGTGCATTACCTGGAACCGCCCAGTGGATATCTGGAGCGTTGGACTAACGGCTTGGGACCTTCTTGGTCCGAAACGATTATTCACGGCGAAAGATGAAGATGGAGACATGTACGACGCAGCACACCTCGCAGAGCTTATAGCAACACTTGGCCCGCCACCCCAGGAATTTCTGCAACGCAATGTCGAGAGAACGGCTGACTTCTGGGACGAACAAGGTATGTCTGATAAGTTGAATTTATATCTACTCTGGGTGGTCACTGACGCATTGTAACAGGCAAGTGGCTTGGACTGGCACCTATTCCGAAAGGTCGCTCACTAGAGGAGCTTGAGACACGGCTCGAAGACAGTACGGGCTTCATTGCGTTTCTGCGACGTGTTCTGACATGGATGCCTGAAGATAGACCTACAGCGAAGGAATTACTACTAGATCCGTGGGTCAGCGGGGAGGACAGAAGCACATAGGACGCCGTAGCGTGGCATACTCGAAGCGATGAGTGCTGGAGTGGTCAATCGAGGCTGCACCCTATAAAGCGCCAGGGAACAAAGAAAATTCAATGTATCAATATTCGAATAGAACTGTAAGAGTTTACTGAAGCTAAAACGTCCTCACCAAGCCTTGCCTGAAATAGACTTCTTCTTCGTAGCTCCTCTAAGCCTGCCAAAGAAATTCCCTCCCATAACTGACGTCCTGGCAACAGTTTCATCCCGCTCCCTATGCCCCTCACATTTCCTCGGCGCCACCCGCCCCTGACTCTCCCAATAAAACCTCGACACATCAAACTCATGATGTGTCCCTGGCGCTACACAAATAACCTTTTCCTTGGTAGCCTCCAGCTGCGGCCAACATGTATCACACCAGTTACAGCCTGGAAACTCTTCCGACTTATTAGCATTGGTAACTTGAATAATCTTTCCACAGAGCTTGTTCGAACAGCAGGCTGTTGAATCAATGGTAGGCCACCATTCGCGGAAAGACGCCTTCTCGGATGATATCATTGATGCTTTGCTCTTGAGCTCGAGTTGGGTGCAGATCTCATTGCAGACATGTGTTGCGAAGAAGAATTTGAAACCTTCTCTTCCGAGGTTTGTGTCTGCGAGTTTGAAGCGCTCAGGATCGAGAGTGTGAATGGCTGGGTCTGTGAGAACGTGCCCCACGCCTTGAAGATCGCAGACCAGAAAGCTTCCCCAGGATCTTTCATAGGTAAAGTGCGAGAAGGCCTGGGCTGCCTTGTTGAATTCATCGTCTGGGTTATCCTCGTTGACGTAGCTGCAGTTATTGTTGTACTTGACATAATCACCCTCGATGAAGGGCTCAAGGGAGATATAGTCGGTACCGGAATTGCCAGATTTACCTTTCAAGCATGATGTAACGATAAAGTCAATTGAGTGCTTATCGCCTGTAAGAGCATTGAACTCCAGTGCGAACGCTTTGCAGAGAGCTTGGCAGCGCATGTCCTCGGCAAGATGCGCAAGACGCTTTCCACCGCGCTTGAACGACTTGACGACGTATGGGTTTGTGGAGTGTGTCGTCTTGGCGCAGTATGCAAGGCGTAGAGCGCCTTGAGCAAAGGGCATGCGACGTTTGTGAACGTTGAGTTCCATGACACTCAACTTAATGTTATCATCGTGAGCCATCATGTCATTCAGTGTACCAGAGCGGTGAACCACAGTATCCGGACTGAAACCCTCGACAACGAGCTTATCCTCGAACCAACTCTGTTCAGACCACTTCTTCTCTACATCTTCGAGGATTGCTTCGCTCTGCTTCTCGTTGAATTCATCATCTTCTGCTTCACCGATGGCGTCTAGATGAGACATTTGAGCAGTCTTGGTTCCCTTTTCACCAGTTCGAGAGGAAGACTCTGACATTCTAACGGCGGTACGAGATGCGGAGCTTGTAACGCTCTTGACTACCAGGTGCCGAAGGGCACTGTATGTAGTGCCCAGCTCGGCTTCTTCAAAGAGCAGACCACCTTTGGCAGTGCCCTTGGAGCTTGAACCGAGAACGCTACTCCTCGGTCCTGAATTTGCCTTCAACGCCTCTCGGTAGTGGGGGTTTGACTTTAGAAGCTTGCAGTCCGCCGACGCGGCGGCATATTCCTGGAGGAAAACGTACGCCATCTTGTCAGTCGCACTCAGAATGCGGAGAAGAGCGTAGTTGAGGTTCAGACCGATCATCTGCTTCAGAAGAGGCTGATAATGGAGCTTATGTGGTTCGCTTCCAGGTATGTAGTAGTCATCGCTCTTCTCTGTCCAACTGTGAAAGATATTGCCGTGTGGCGGAGCATCAGCGATGTGAATGATGCATCGGGTCTGATTCTTCCAGGAGGCATTGATGGCCTGTTGGATACCACCTAGGACATCCTCGGGTGCATCACCGCCACCTCGGGCTCTCAACTTATCGATGAAACCTCTCACCTTCTCCACATCGGTAGTGAAGTCGATGAATTGGATGTGATTCTTATCACAGTGGTCCTTGTAACTGACCACCGCGATCCTCACTTCCGCCTCATTATAGAACGTCTCGGTAATATCCTGCATGATCTTCTTGACCTGCTCTTTAGCAGCGGCGATGAAGGGACCCATAGACGAAGTAGTATCCATGAGAAACAGTAGGTCCGTAGCACAAGCCGCCTTGAACATTCCCTCATTGGGAGTTCTTTTCATTTGGGCAGCAGCTTGAGCTTCCCGCTTGAGTTCAAGAACACGAAGCCTCGCTTCAGCGGCAGAAAGGCCTGTAAGACCTGCTTCGCGCTTGAGACGATCGTTTATAGCGCGCTCCTGCTGCATTGCGCGGCGGAGATCATCGCGTTCGATCTCCATCTGGCGGAGGCGTTCGCGGGTGCCGGAGGAGGTGGCGTTGGACGTCCCGGAGTCGCCGGGGGTTCGGAGACGTTGGAGAGCGCCGGCGATGGGCGGGACGGATCTGGGTTCATCGATGCGACTTGGTGCTGTGCGGTCTCTGCTTGGTGGATAGGGAGGGAGGATGGTAGACGCTGAAGATGCACTGGACGCAGTGGAGGTTGCGGAGGAGGTGTCAGTCAGGGCACGAATATCTCGTGTCTCCCCATCACTTCCGGTAGAACCTGGTGGTGAGTATGGAGGAGGGGCACTCATTTTGGTATGTATTGATGAATTGGACTACTTGAAGAATATCGCTGCTCTGTATTGGAAGCAAGTATATATATTCAGCCCATCTCGACTTCTGTTACTATTTCCATACCGTTACCGAAGTCGATCAACCTACTCCTCATTATCGCAATGCTAGGCTCTTTCAGAATCCTAGTGCGTCTTCTTCGCCCGATAAGGCTTCCTTCGCGCATCGACATATCAAGCGCAGCTCCACCGAAGCCCTCCATATAAACCGGGCGTTTCTCAGGCCTCAATTCCGCGCCATTATTCCCATTCCGCATAATCGGGTCCAATCACAGCCCCCGTTGCCTTACCACTTTTAGCGCTGATGGACACAGAATTCCCTGTTGGTCCAGATTGACCAATCAGATCAATGCACGAATTCGCCCTGTTTGAGGGTGTAGTCCTGGAAAAGTCGTGTCTGCCTGATCTGATGGAGGCAGTGTTGTTTTGGTGGAGTCATGTCGGTCGCCCACTGAGTTAGGGAGTACAGCTTGGACTTTGAGCATAGACATTACAGGGGCCGACGCCCGGGAGCAGTTAATTGATAACATTAGCCTTGGAGCTTGTGAATTGAGGTTCTGAGAATGCCTGGGGCGGGGTTCATCACCAGATACATAGCCAAGTTGCCCGAGTCAATCTATCTTCCTTCTGTCAGCCCATCATCCGGAGGTGCCTATCTTGGGATCTCAAATAGAGCCTTATCGGCTATACGAGGCTGAATATTTGTAAATTATTGTGGTAAATTATTGTGGTAAATCGTCGGTCTAGACTGTGCCGCATTTTCCTCGCTCATTATCGACCTCATCAGCCTCAACACCATCTTCTTCATTGCACTCTTCACTTTCATCCGAGACCTGACCTCAGTATATTTCATGATTCTTCAATCGTCAACCACGCCTTCTGCTTGAACAACGAGAGTTCATAATGGCGGATACTCGTCGCGCAGAATGGTTTCTCTCCAAAGCATCTCTCCAACCCCCTCCCCGCCTCGGCCGTCTAACCGAACCACCCGCACAAGACTTCCTCCCATTCAGTACTACCAACCGCGATGCAGCCCGTCAGCTCCTCGTACAGCAGAGAACCTCAGATCCCAACTACAAGCCCCCAGACCGACAAAAGCGGCATCTCTTCCGATCCAAAGAACAAAAGGCTGAGGCCTGCGATACTTCACAATGGAGCTTTACGAAACATGAAGTCGCGAAAGCCTTCAATGCGCTACTAGCACAAGAGATACTTCCTCCGGCTGGCGTTGCGCAGGCTCTCTTGCTGCATACTACACTGACATCACTGGATGAGCTTTGGGGTCACCTGAATGATGCGCAGCTGGAGAAGAGGATGAAGAGAAACAGGATGAGCGAGATCTTGAACTTCGATTCAAACGGCATGACTTGGTTGGATACAGTGACGTCCCGTGACAACTTCAACTACGTTCATTTGTTGTGCCAAACACAAGCGAGCCAAGGGGTCTTGAACAGAGCGTTTGGCATGGCCCTGTCCCGATCATCTCTCGAGTCTATGAAGCTTCTGCTGAGCTTCGGAGCAGTGGCCTCTGACTACCAAGATCTCATCGGCCAACATATACGAGCCAGGAACTTAGACTTAGTGAGGCTTCTACTGTCAGCGCCTAATTCTATGGCACCCTCGGATTGGAAGGCATGTCTCGAACAAGATTTCGCAAGGGTAGAAGCAGAAGAAGCATTGTCTCTCTCTTTCATTCTCCTGCTCCTATCTCACCGCCCAGAACTGGTCTCGGAGTCCTTTCTCCTCAGTGCACTGAGACTAGAGAGTTATCAAGCCACAGCTGTGATGTTGGGCTACGCATACTCCAATCAGGTCTTCTTCGCCATTCGTCATCAGGTCTGCGAAATCATTTCTCAATATCAGAATGGCAACCAAAGACTAGCCTTCTTTACTCTCCTTTCGCATTCTGGTCTTGTTGGGGACAACTTGGTCACTCGAGAAGAGCTTGTCAAGGAAGTGCTCGCTCGCCACTTACCACTTGTCAAGCTGCTTGTGCATGCTGGAGTCGCGGTCGATGTCCCTCCACACAACGCTTTGAAATGGGCTGTCTCACAACTAGACTTTGACACGCTGGAAATTCTTAGACACGGGACACTGTCGTTACCTGCATCCCAAGTACTGAGCTACCTGCCCGATAACATCCCAGAGCCTGACTTGGTTCATTTCATGAACATTTTTGGCTCTATGGGTCTGGGAGGACAACAGCTCGACTCATGCCTAGTCCGTGCTGCGCAGAGAAAGCAACAGCACCTTGTCCAAACTCTGCTCCACTACGGTGCATCTGTTGAAGCTGAGGAGGCTGCTGC